TCTTTTTTTTATTTACTGTCCCTTATATCATGACAAAAAAGCACGAGAAATAAAATTGTCAGTTATGTTTCATTTTCAAGAAATCCCTTTTTTTCTATTGATCAAATAAAATATCCATTTTCATTCTTTCATTTACATTATCCTCCAAAACCAAAAGTGTGCTCTGATAGTAGGAAGATAAAAGTTGCGGTAACAATTGCTAGGCTTCTGTCTCCGGAGATACCAAAATGGGATGACACTGCATTTTTGACTCCCCTTCCAGCGATCAGGAAATAGAAAAATTTCGAGAAATTCCTGTTTCTTTCTTTTTGGAACATCGAGCACTTTTTAGGGTGCATGTATCTAGGGAAATATCATTTTACATGACTCGAAATGAGAAACGTATTATGGGATTTTGTACAAACAAAATATGGAAAACTCCTTTTCTATGTGGAATCCATTTCCTGCGGATTGGATTTATGGATGCTAGTACATAAAAGAAATGTAAGCTGTTTCTGTAAGTTAAAGTCAACGTATATGAACACTTACTTTATTTTCATTTTTCCTTAAAATGGAATCTATTTCTTGTAAAAAATGGCTTCTATTCTATAGAACTTCTGTGGAAACCATCTTAAAAGATATATTTATTTTATATTTGTATGCTCTGATATTATACTTCTTAACTGGTAGAAAGATATCATATATATAATCCTTTTATATTACTCGAAGTTATTTAAAAGTGAAGTAAAAAGTTTTAAAATATGCTTACGTTTTACTTTTTTAATAAGCCTGCTGGGTGGCGTAGTTGGTTATTTGCTGACCTTGTAAACCCAAGTATTTTGGTTTCACCCCAGCCCAAATTGGCGGGTTTTCATGATGCAAATCCATGTTGTATGATTGTATGGCATGTTAAAGATTCATATAGTTCTTGTTTGGATTAGGTGATCTCGGCAAAATTAAATTCCTAGTACAATTTCGCTTCATCACTCAGGTGCCACCTTTGGGAGGAAACTCAGCGCTAAACTACCTCCTGGCAATTAATATCCACCTATATTTTGCCATACTAAACATAGGATACCAGTTCCACAGGAATGTACTGAGTCTTCAATGGTAATTACTAATCCACAGCCGCTTTTGGATAAGAAAAAAATAGTTTAAAGTCTTATGTTGTAATAATTAAATGATAATAAAATATTATGCATACATATTTACTATTGTTGAGATATTTTTTGCCAAGTATTTCAGGTCAAATTTCTATACGGAGCTTATTTTTTTTTCAGCCGAATGGTTGAGTGGTTAGTGCATCGCGCTTCCACAACACAGGTCCGAGGTTCAATCCTTGGACTGGACAAAATTGACTCAGCCTTCCATCCCTTCAATAGGTCGATAAAATAAGTACCAAGCTTTCTTGGGAACTTAATACCGGGAGTTTTCACATCAGACTCACCATCTGACTGGAATCATCTGCTATGCACCTCAGGGCCCAAGATTGAGTATACTGACTTGGGCACAGTAGGCCTTGTCCCTCATGAAATGTTGTGTCACTGTGTTTACTTATTTTTTTAATTGAAATAATATGAGAATAATTAAATTATCATGTTTTTCTGTTAAAATAGCTTTTTCTCAAACAAAATCTTTATTTAATTTCACACAGAATTAAATAAATTTATATCTTTTAAGATTCAATTTAAAAATAATAGTTTAGAAATATATATTTTAATAATAATTTTGTATACCAGTGTCATGCATATAATTTTGCACTTATTCTCTTATAAATCTTATTTATCTCTTTTGAACAATAAATTTATTTTTTGCCAAATTTATTTTTTATTAAGATATAACACTTATTATTAAGATATAATATATATTCTATAATATTTATTACTAACATATAGTTGCCTTTTATGTATAATACTTCCCTTAGTAATAGATGAGAGTCGAGTATTACGGAATTACCGAGTAATATGGAATACCGAGATTTTGGCTCTGTCTGTAGCTGCTAATGCGTGGGGGAACGCCTTGAACTACTGAAGAAAGACATTTGTAATGCAATGCAGTGAGAGTTAACCACTTATTGTTACAATGCCATTCGCTACAAAACAAAGAGTGTTTTGCGATTTTCAAAGGTTTTTGCGGTTAAGTTTTCAAACGATTTTAATTACTGGTACATAATACTTAAGTATAATGTAGGGTAAAAGATTTGTGGTTTGTAATACTGCAGTCATTTTTCAGCTGGCAATGTTTTGTCCTTTAATTTAAGGTATCCGACTACGTTCGGAACCGTGATTTTGCAAAAGCGTATAAATGGATAATACTTATGGTATCTCGCGTCACTTAGATAAGAAAACTTATATAAAATTGTTTTAAGAATATTATTACAGTAAAAAATTATTGAAGTACAATATTTTTATAAAAAATGAACATAAAATGACCAATTTTCAAAATATTCTCCTTTTATGAAAAATGCTTCTATTATGATAATATTTTGCCTGTGCATAGCTCAAACTTCTGTTCAGAGGCTGAACTAGAATTTTTGAAATATAAAACTTAGAAGTTTATTTATCCATATTTTACTACAACAGACGAGAGAAATTTTAAGAAAAAAAATGCCGATAGTTATTTTAATCGGTTGTAACTCTGAAAATAATGTGAATTTTTCAAAAATCCTATTTGGATTCTCTGAAGAAGTCTTTACTTTATATAAGCAAAATATTATTACTGTAGGAGCATTTTTTACTAAAAGAGAACGTTTTGAATAAAGGTGAATCTAAATTAATTTTTAGCCGAAATATTGTATTTTAATAACTTTTTTTGTCAAAATGTCCTTTAAACAATTTTATACATGTATTCTAATCTAAGTGACACTAAATATTATGAAAATCATCCATGTATGCGCTTTTTTTTAAAATCACGGTTCCGAACGTAGTCGGTCACCTTAAAGGTTCATTTTCCAAGATGGCGTGTTGGGTATTATGGAAAACCTTTTATTCCATAATACCTGACTTAAATGTATAGTGTTCCATATAACTCTACAAAATATACTGAAAAAAAGCAAAGAAATAAGTTTTGAGTATAATATTCATGGCTAAGTAATAGTTATTAGTTATATAAATAGTAATATAGCGTCAATTGAAACTTAAGTACATTTTTTTTATAATTTGAAGCATTGAAATGGAAACAAAATGATCATACTCCGTATTCGTCTACAGGTTCTGGTTCACCTCAACCACCCTGACATGGTTATATTCCTGATACGTCTAAGTCAACAAATTTTGTCTTTCCCATAGATATATCTCCACCGCCTCCATAAAAGCAGATATCACATACAGAGATAGGAAGTCGGAATTTTTCTCAAGAAAAACGTACTACACACACATATATAAAAGCGTTACAGGATAAAGTAGAAGAAAAAATAAAAAGAAGGAACCAGGGCTCTACGATATCAAAAAAGAATTCAAAGACCTTTTGTTGAGAATTCAAACCTAAGCCGACCTTCTAGACCTAAACCTACTGCAGCTGACTCCAGTGTTGGCAGCAGCAAATCGTTTCATTGTGATGCATTCTTTGTAATAAATTTCACGTCATCAACTAAATAGTTAGAAAAATAGCTTATGAATGTATCTTTTGAAATGGAAAAAATCTCAGAAAATCAACCAGGGGGAATTTGGATTCAAGCCTTCAGCTGTTTTCTTTGGGTCACCTTGAATGTAATGGAGTGAAGAAATATTACACTTGCGAGATTGATAAATAAACTCGAAATAGAAAAGACTTTAACGTATTTTTTAAAACTCGGCTTTTATTGAAAAAATAACTCATTCTATGAAGTTTAATTAGTTTTCTAATGGTTTAATCCACCTATTACATATTACCTGACTATTCCATTATATCCTCCATTTTTCATTTTTTTAAAAAAAATAAAATAATATTTTTTCAAAAAAACAAAATAAATATTATGTTTGATAAGTTATAATTCTTCACAATCACTTAGAGTTTTTATCTATGATGAGTTTGGAAAAACATAAAGTTACTTTTAGAAATGTAACTGGTATTCCACAATACCCAACTCTCATCTGCATTTGAAATCAAAACATTACCTATTCAAATAATACAGGATTAAAAAAAATTATATTATATTAAATTTCATAAAAATACAATATGAAGCTCATTACTTACTAGAAGTAAGAAAAAAAACCAGAGTTTCTTCATTGCAATTTTAAACATATAACTCTTCAAAATTTTTAAAATTTTTTTGAAGATAATTTATATTATGGACATTTTAATTCATCATATAATTTTATAAAAAATAATTCCATTAATTACATTTAAACACTTATTATGGATTTCAATATAGGCGCTTTCTTTCATTAACTAAAGATTAAGTACGCTGTATTTACACTTTCTGAAAATATTTCATTAAATGATTATTTAATACATAAAAACAGTAAATATGTTTATCTGGATGAATTTTACTGAAAAAATGACTTAATCCAAAATTTTAAGAAAAATTAAACATTGTTAAAGACGTTATATTCTTTTATCCATTTGTAAAAACTTGTAATATGTTTTTTGGTACTTAATATTTGGAGAATAAAAAGAACATGCTTACCAGTTACTCTCCCAGTCTCTCACTCTTTTTAATAATGCATAAATTAATCTCTGGTTTAAATCATATTTTTTATATCTAACTATATTGCATTTCTGGGATTATTTATTTTTATTTCAATGGTCAATTTTAACACACAAACACACACACATATATATATATATACCTTGTTTTCAAAATTTCTTTTCTCAATTCTTATTAAAACACTTAAGTAAGGATTCCATTTTTTGAAGTTATACTTCTTTTGCGACGTTAGAGAAATAGGATGAGGGTAAATTTTTACAATGCGCGCGCACCCCGTCACGGATGTGACGCACACCATCACGGATGCGAAAATCCTTTGTCTAAAAATATACAGAACGGGACAAATCCCTCCCGCCTTCGAAATTCTCAGAAATATATTTCTCTTCCCTAAAGAAGGTGACACCCGGGTTTGAACTGGAGACCCTTCAATCTGCAGCTGAATGCTTTATCACTGAGCTATACACCCGAGTCAGCCAACCGTTGCTTTGTGTTCCGTAGGAACATATATGAAAATGCTTTGTAAAGAAATATACAGAATGGGACATATCATTCCCGCCTTCAAAATCTTCTCTGCACTTCCCTGAAGAAGAAAACTCCCGGGTTTGAACCGGGGACCACTAGATCTGTAGTCGAATGCTCTACCACTGAGCTATACCTCCGCGTCAGCGAATGTTAGTTAGCTTTGCGTTCCGTAGGAACGGATACGAAAATGCTTTGTCTAGAAATATGCAGAACGGAACAGATCATTTCCACCTTCGACCCCCTCTCCATATTATTGGTCCTATTGTCCCTGCGGGGGGGGGGGGGTTTATTTAAATCGTGATTATCTCAGGTTTGGCTGGTCCGATTGACTGAAGGTTAGTATCGTTCAACTCTGCTCGTGACCGCCTTTCGACCTAGGGCCACCTTACCCTGCTAAAGAATTTTAGAAAGATTTTAATCTTGCTACGCGAAAGAAGTATAACTTCTTGCGTGCATACATAAGTACACACAGACTCTTTTTTTCTTGTTATTTATACCAACTGCATTGACTATGTATTTATATTTCATGTGATTGTAACATGGTGTTTGTTACAAAGTTTTTAGAAAACGAAAATCTACGGAATGTAGATAATTTAGGTTTTTCTTTTGATAATAGGGACTCCCCGCACTAAGCTAGTGGTATTCGTTTCAACGCCTTCTTCACAAAATACTTTTTTTTTCTTAAAATCAAGAGTTACAGCCTTGTATCGCAACTATCCTTATTATATTATGAATTAAAATTATCTAAAGAGGCATATATTGATCACTTTTTGGAATATTCGTTATACATTTTTATAGTAATCTTTTTTTTTTTAAATTATATTGCACATGTCTTTTTTTTCCTTTTAATTATTTTAAAATCACAAATATTATTTACAAATGTATGATAAGAAATTGGATGATTTAAATTCTTAAATCTCACAACTGAAGGTTTTATATATTGAAATTTTTCAATATCGATGCCATCACTATAATATTAAAGATTGTATGAATATTCCGAAGTATAGAATGACACAAGTAATCCAAACAAAAATAACATGTACGGAATAACATACATTTTCATGTACTTAAAAAGTTATGTATTAAAATTTGAAAAGGAAATTAAATCGATTAGAATCGTTTTTTTTTTTTTCTTTTTCTTAAGAGATATCTGTTATTAAGAATATCTGCATACAGAAACTAGAGAAAAAATTCAGTTTATAAGGTACACAATTCAATGTTTAATTATAAAACAACAATAAAAAAAAAGCCTGCACTCTTACTAAATAATATTCCCTAATAAATATTATCTTTCGGTCATTTTTTTATGAAAAACATAAAAATATAATGAGTTCTTTTAATCTAATACATACAGAATGTCCCGAAACTCAATGATAAGAAGGCACGGTGAAAGATGGGCTCATATCTGTTCTGGGAAACATTTAAAATATAATTCTCCAACAGATAAGTGAGGACGAGCACATTTATGAAAACATGGAAAGCTGACACCCTCCATTACCTCATAAGCTACCGTGACCACAAACTTCACACATTTACAAAGCTTTTTACATTAACGTCATCTTACATAGCCATATTATTAATCACAGTCACAAGCCAGACAAAAAGTGTCCTAGTTTAATTCAAGTTTACGTAGTTATTGAGAAACGGGGTTTGAGAAAAGAATGGCACTGAACTTTTTGACTCTCCATAACAAAACTATTATATACAGATAGTAATTAAGTTGTCCCAATTAGTTTAGATTAAAAAATGCTACAACTCTTACTCTTTTGTATGCATAACAACAATAGAGATTTTTTGTTTGTTTGCAGAGAGAACATCTTCATTTTAAAATTACTTATGTTGATAACTCAAAACGCTTTAGTAGGTAGTGTGACCGAATTTTTCAGTGATTTTTTCACTAATGTGATCTTTCATAGCTTGTGATTGTTCTATCAATCATTGTCACAAATGGAGCCAAAATCTTTACAGGTTTATTTGAAATTAACGCAGTTTGATCCGCTTAGGTGGCCGCGGTAGCCGAGTGGTATAGGCACCGGGCCGTGGCATGCCTTCTCACGAGTTCGAGCCCAGTACCACTAAAGACCCGCCGTGTAGGGCAGCGATGCACGTTAAATCTGTCGAGGGCTGAAACGTCCTCCCGTTGGTGTGGTAGTTAGGAGAGGTGTGCCAGCTCAGGTGTCGTCCAAGTCACTTGACCATGGTTCAAAATAAACGTGATCCGTCGCCAAAAGCCCTCATGTAGCTAAACAGTGCGACGTTAATAATCAATCAATCAATTGATCCGGTTAGATAAAATGATGTCACCTAACTTTAAAACTTCATAAAAAGAAAAACTCTGTATACTACTCTATGCATGTTATTTCAAAAGATGACCCTTTTAGTGAAAATTTCAAAATATTTTACATCGCATTTAACTTCATGTTAGTTTACTCCTTAAACCGCATAAGTTTCTTAAAAAGCTATTAACTTGGCCATCTCAAAAATGTTTACGATTGTCAAAAAAATTTCACTTCAAATTCGCATGCATTGAATTACATTTGAGTAGACACCGTAACAAAATGGCTTTAACAATAAAAAAAAATTATATGCTATGATTTTCAAAAAGTAAGACATCATTGATTTCCATATTCTCGAAAATCTTCTGATATACGATTGAAAATCTGACAGACAACAAAACCTATCTATTTTGTTATATTTTGTGTGAAACATATTATAAATTGCCCTGTGTTTCACTATACCGTAATTAATGCATCAAATGTAACATGGGAAAATCAGTATTGAGTTAAATAAAGGATTTTTCACCTAAGAAAGTCAATCAAGACATTATCTTAACTAAGGGATATAGCCCCCAAAGTGTTTCAAAGAATATAGATTCAGCACAACAGAAAAAAATTATTGACTTTCACATATTAAAAGCTAGATCAAACTCCACAGATTGAAATTGTAAATTCGACCCTGCAAATAGGAGGTATGTGTCGTTTTCTCTCCACATTGCAAGTATTTGATATAGTGATAGTAAAAACTAAGAGTATTTGTACACTTTATATTCAATTTAATGAAAGACCCTGAATGAAAAATATAATTTAATACCTCTAGATAAGAAAATGCTTTGGTTAATTAAATGTTAGATTAAGGGCAGTCACACACAGTAGGGTAATAACCTTTTGAAAATCGATTTTGAGTTTTTGATTTTTCTAAAATCTCCAAATCGGTACCTTTCCAATTATATAAAATGCAAGCCATTATATGAATTAGAAGTACTTTAAAATGATTTTTAAAAAATAATCAGCTTATGAACCACACCCATTTGACAGATAGAAATGTAAACATTGTCTTTTTAAATTTGGGGCAAAGTTGCAAAGCCTCAATTTATTTTTATTCATAAGCATTAGAAACATGCGTATGAATAGTAAATGCAAGTTTAACTGTGTTAGATATGCAACAAATATTGGAGCCATATTTGGAAGCGTGGTTTTAATTTGAATGTTATATTTAATATTTAGTGATTTTACGTTAATTTAAGTCTGTTCTTCACTTTAAATTTAGTTTTAATCAGTTATTATTTCTGATTATTTAAGCTCACTAATGCTTAGTAAAGAGTTAAAAATATTTTAAAAATACTTGGTTATAATTATGTGCTGAATTAAGAAAATTTGGTTTGAATATTAATACAAAGGTAAGATTCGTTTATAAAAATTTCTGTTTTCTAAAATTTATACTTTTAAAATTGTGTAAATTTACTGTGTGTTTCTTTAATGCAATTGTGTATACTGAAGTGACATTTTTGAAATATTCTTAAAACATTTAAATATAAAGCAGTTATCATAACAGAAAAATGACAATTTTTAATAAATTCATAATAATAATTGTTATGTGAACTAAAAGTGTCTTTGAAAAACTAATTATTATACTTAAAAAAATTTCACTTCAGTATATATATAATATCTAATTAATATAAGTAAAAAAAAATTTTGAGTCTTTATGTTTAATGGTTTCTGAGAAAAATGTAAAAGATGACACATTAAATGTGATGTTTGTTGTCTTTGCAAGAAGCTTGTTACATACATAAAAATACATAAATTTCATGTTTAAAAACATAAAAACAGTTTTATTTTGTCTGTTTTAGAAATCATTTGTCCAGTTTAGAGTAACTTTTGAAGTTTAAAACTTAGAAACTGTCTGCAACAACAAGACCTAATGATAATGTTACGAAATCTAACAAAAACTTACGAAACGTATAATCGGGTATTTTTAAATACAATCTCAAATTCAGACCGAAACCATATTGATACATTTTCTCATTATATTTATGATGCTTTCTGTTCGAATTTTATATCTGTAATGCATATGAAAGCTACAAATTCTTTAAAAATTGATACCGAATTTGAGAAAATTTTGATGTATTATCGTTAAAAAAACTGAAAAATACTGTTCTAGGCAATTTAAGACTTTTTTGTTTACTATTTTATGCAAAATAAATTGCAAAGATACTACTGTTTAGAAAAATAGGACAAATACATGTTGTAATTCATTTTTTTTGTTATAAAGTGGCACTTTATCGTGAAAATTCAATTTTCTCAAAAATGATGTTTTTAAAACTGTATTCATGTTTTTCTCAGAATATAATGTATGGATGTAATGATATTTTTCCCTCATGTTGTGCTGATATGTAACTATATATATTCATGTGAGTTTTGGGGGATTTTCCCAAAATAATTTACTGGAGTCCATATATCTTGAAAAAAGATGTCAATTTTTTTTAAAAATTCATAGTGATATTTTTATGTTACATGTTTATATGAGAAAACTCAACAATATATTTTAAATATTTCACTTCGGAAAGACGTATGTATATGTCTGAGGCAATTCGCGTTTATATACGCCGGTGGCACATAAGAGGTTAAAGTCACTTGTAGCTTTAGTGTCAAAATATAGTATTATTT